TTTTTTTTTTTTTTCATAGTACGAAACTTTGTAGTGTTTCAAACATAGCTTGTCGTTTTCCAGCGGCGAATGAGTGTCTTTCCAGAAATTTGAGAAAAAAAAAAAAAAAAGAAAGAAAGGAAAGAAAGAGACGAGAGAAATCGTGAGTTGGAAGAAATTTGCGATGTACGCTATTCCACGGCGTCATAATGCTATTTGTAGCCAGGAGAGGAGGGGGGGAGAGGGACGGGGTGCATAACCTCAAGATATAATGCGATCAACGGTGTATAATTAGGTTTGCGACTAACGGTTGTTCGGTATAACGAAGATTTGATCGTGGAACGAGGGAAAGTTTAATCCCGTGGCACTCCACTTGTTTCGTTTGCATCGTATTAACGATCGAGCAGATAAAACCGCCATTTACGAAATACGATTTTACTAATGGACGCCATGTCTACAGACGTGCATTTGCTTTTTACAACAAGAGAGTTTGTACACTGAATGAAGGCTACTGAAACGACTGAACGATGTTCAAAACAAAAATAACTTTTACGATCACGTGTTTTTTCAAGTTTTTTTATTATTTTGTAAATTTACGACTTTTTCGAACACTTCAGCTTTCCAATGGCCGCCATTTTAGGCACAGTTGTAAATCCTTAATAGGGAACTTTTACGCTTGGAGATGAAATTTTACAACGACCACCTAGGAATTTTGCAATCTCCTGCCGGGAATTCACGTCGTGGAAAAAATTTCTTACTGACGTTGTTTGAAGATTTAACAAGTTTTTTGAGAAAAAGAAGCCTAGAGATAGAATGATAAAAAGATAATACTGGAACATCGGAATATATTCCCTTCTCGTAATTTTCGTAAAACACAAGTTGCATGGAAAACGAAATTTATGCTCTTTTTAATCGATGTTTTGAAGAAGCTGAGGCTTTATGGCCAGTCTAGATATCGCATAAATATCGAACCTACGATTTTTATTCTACTTCCTTCTCTTTCTACATTCACTTCGCTCTCACTTTCCTCTTTCGTGTTTTCTGTAGTAAAAGAAGAAACAAGGGAGAGATCT